TGTTTACTTTGTCGATTGGCCTTAGAATCAAGTATGTGGTTATCATGTCCCCCCAACTCCCTATTCTTACAGTCTTACAGTGTGTTGAAGTCTGACTGTCGCAGTCTTCCTTCGTGGCTCAATTTCCCCAGAAACATGTCTTGTTTTATACCTAAATTTTCGGTAATGTGTACCTAATGTGTCGTTTCCAAGCCTGGATTACATTACATATTCGGTTCTGGCATATGCCACTGACGTTGTTCTGCTGACGTGTGCCTCTGGCGTCATATTTAATGTCCACTACTAGACATTTTTCTCAGATCTTCATGTTTCCCTTCATTCTGTACTCCTATGAAAATCTTCCTACACCTCTTCCTCGCATCGTAACTTTTGCATTTATGTGATTTAATTTCCACTTGCCACTTTTCTATTTACCTTCCAGACTGTGAAGCTCAGTCGCCAGTCTATGACAGTCTTCCCTCAGTTCTGATTCTTATCTTCAGCGTCGCGTCACCAGCAAACTTTTATATGAAGGAGCCGACTTATCTGTCAGGTCTTAGAGACTTGGACATATGAGGAGCGGGATGGGCGCCCTTGTTCTGATCCTCGAGTACCTGAACTCACTATACTTCTCGGTGTTGTTGATGTTTCAGAGTCAGTTACTGGGAACAAAAAGCTGCTGGCAGCACGGGCCACGGTGAGCCCGCACTGGAGTCAAAGTTCTCTTGCTAAATAGACTTTCTTCTCGCGCTGATATATCACTTCTCATTGTGGCTTCCCAAAGGCTGTGGTAACTCTGCACTTACAAGGACGCGGGTATACACTACATGATGACATCTCCACAGTCTTGGCTACATGTGTCGGCTACATGAGGATCAGGGTGAAAGAAAATCTTGCGATTTGCCTTTGCTGGCGCTGGGAATCGAAGCCGGGCCTCAAGATTGCGAGTTTTGCGCGCTGTCCACTCAGCTACCAGACCCCTGTCGGCGGGTGTATGTGTGTGTGTGTGTGTGTGTGTGTGTGTGTGTGTGTGTGTGTGTGTGTGTGTGTGTGTGTGTGTGTGTGTGTGTAATTACCTAAGTGTAGTTACAGGATTAGAGCTACGCTCGTGGTGTCCCGTCTTCCCAGCACTCTTTGTCATATAACGCTTTGAAACTACTGACGGTCTTGGCCTCCACCACCTTCTCACCTAACTTGTTCCAATCGTCTACCACTCTGTTTGCGAAAGTGAATTTTCTTATATTTCTTCGGCATCTGTGTTTAGCTAGTTTATATCTATGACCTCTTGTTCTTAAAGTTCCAGGTCTCAGGAAATCTTCCCTATCGATTTTATCAATTTCTGTTACTATTTTGTATGTAGTGATCATATCACCTCTTTTTCTTCTGTCTTCTAGTTTTGGCATATTTAATGCCTCTAACCTCTCCTCGTAGCTCTTGCCCTTCAGTTCTGGGAGCCACTTAGTAGCATGTCTTTGCACCTTTTCCAGTTTGTTGATGTGCTTCTTAAGATATGGCCACCATACAACCGCTGCATATTCTAGCTTTAGCCTAACAAAAGTCGTGAACAAATTCTTTAGTATATCACCATCCATGTATTTAAAAGCAATTCTGAAGTTAGAAAGCGTGGCATAGGCTCCTCGCACAATATTCTTTATGTGGTCCTCAGGTGATAGTTTTCTATCTAGTACCACCCCTAGGTCTCTTTCTTTATCAGAATTCTTTAAAGATTTCTCACATAATATATAGGTTGTGTGGGGTCTATGTTCTCCTATTCCACATTCCATAACATGGCATTTATTAACATTAAATTCCATTTGCCAAGTGGCGCTCCATGTACTTATTTTGTCCAGGTCTTCTTGAAGGGCATGACAATCATTTAAGTCATGACAATCATCATGACATGTCATGACAAGTGTCATGACTAAGTCATGACAATCATGACAATCATCATCTGCCCGAAACGCTTTGCGTAATAGTGGCTTTAGGCATTGTATGTACTAGCTCTATCTATAAAGCCAACAAACTTTGTAAAATCTCTTTATGTATGTACCTTACCTAAATAAAATTATTATTATTATTATTATTATTATTATTATAAGTTTCTTATCCTTCCTATTATTTTAGCATCATCAGCAAACATGTTCATATAATTCTGTATACCGACTGGTAGATCATTTATGTACACAATAAACATCACTGGTGCAAGAACTGAACCCTGTGGTACTCCACTTGTGACATTTCTCCAGTCCGATACATTGCCTCTGATCACAGCCCTCATTTTTCTATCAGTCAGAAAATTTTTCATCCATGTTAGAAGCGTACCTGTCACTCCTCCAATATTTTCCAGTTTCCAGAACAACCTCTTATGTGGAACTCTGTCGAAAGCCTTTTTTAGGTCCAGATAGATGCAATCAACCCAACCATCTCTTTCCTGTAATATCTCTGTTGCTCGATCATAGAAACTGAGTAAATTCGATACACTGGATCTTCCAGATCGAAAACCATACTGTCTGATATTATATCATTTCTCTCCAGGTGTTCTACGCATTTAGATTTAATTATTTTTTCCAATATTTTGACTATTACACTTGTCAATGATACCGGTCTATAATTAAGGGGGTCTTCCCTGCTTTCACTTTTGTAGATTGGAACTATGTTAGCCTTTTTCCACACATCAGCTACAACTCCTGTAAACAGGGATGCCTGAAAAATCAGTTGAAGAGGAATGCTGAGCTCAGGTGCACATTCTCTCAGAACCTATGGTGAAACGCCATCTGGACCAACTGCTTTGTTCTTATTTAGCTCCTTGAGCATTTTTTCCACTTCGTCTCTAGTCACCTCTATGTGCTCTATGTTGTTCTCTGGAATTCTTATTGTATCTGGTTCCCTGAAGATTTCATTTTGTACAAACACACTTTGGAACTTTTCGTTTAATGTTTCACACATTTCCTTTTCATTTTCCGTGAATCTATTTCCCATTTTCAACCTCTGAATATTATCCTTTACCTGCAATTTGTTGTTTATGAATTTATAGAATAGACCTGGTTCTGATTTACATTTGTCTGCAATCCTTTTTTCAAAATTTCTTTCTGCCTCTCTCCTCACTGCCTTGTGTGTGTGCGTGTGTGCACGCGTGCGTGGGCGCGCGTGCATTTACTATTTGTGCCTGCAAAATCGAGCTATTAACTCTTGGACCCAGCATTTCTACCCAATCTATTTTTCCTGTATTGTGTCGTCAATTATGTATAATGAGGCAGACTTGACCTCCACGTTCACTGCAGGTTGTCACCGTCCTGCCCGGCCGACCTGCTCCAGTAACATCACTCGGGGGAGACACGCGGCCACATCAAACTGTATTTCTAATACAAATTTCCACTATTTAATCAACCGGCAAAGTTGTTCAAGCGTCAGAGCAATATTCAGACCAACAACCTCCTTTTACTTTAAGATGTAGAATAAAGTACTAAATCTCTTTTCGTGTTTTGTGATGGTAGAAATATCTATTATAGCCTCATATTATATTATAGATATTTTAAGCCAAGGGATTTGTAGTTTTAATCTCTAAATAATGGGTTCGTATTGGACATTACATGCAGAACACTATACGACAACAGTAATTATTGTTTTCCCAGAAAAGGTTCATAGATATAACCGGAAGGTTCGAAAGTTTTTCTAAACACACACACACACACACACACACACACACACACACACACACACACACACATTAGGGGGGCCTCGTAGCCTGGTGGATAGCGCGCAGGACTCGTAATTCTGTGGCGCGGGTTCGATTCCCGCACGAGGCAGAAACAAATGGGCAAAGTTTCTTTCACCCTAAGTGCCCCTGTTACCTAGCAGTAAATAGGTACCTGGGAGTTAGTCAGCTGTCACGGGCTGCTTTCTGGGGTGTGTGTGTGTGGTGTGGAAAAAAAAAAGAAAAAAGTAGTTAGTAAACAGTTGATTGACAGTTGAGAGGCGGGCCGAAAGAGCAAAGCTCAACCCCCGCAAAACACAACTAGTAAACACACACACACACACCTCAACAAATTCCTCTACACCCGAGAGTTCTATATTAGTGGTTGTGGTGTTACCACTGGTATGCTCCCCGCGGGGGACCTCTGTCCCCGCGCCCCCCACCTGGGGCTCTGAGCCCCCACCTGGGGCCCTGAGCCCCCACCTGGGGCCCTGAGCCCCCACCTGGGGCCCTGAACCCCCCACCTGGGGCCCTGAGCCCCCATCTGGGGCCCTGAGCCCCCACCTGGGGCCCTGAGCACCCCACCTGGGGCCCTGAGCCCCCCCACCTGGGGCCCTGAGCCCCCACCTGGGGCCCTGAGCCCCCACCTGGGGCCCTGAGCCCCCACCTGGGGCCCTGAGCCCCCACTGAGGGCCATGAGCCCCCACCTGGGGCCCTGAGCCCCCATCTGGGGTCCTGAGCCCCACCGGGGGCCCTGAGCCCCCACCTTGGGCCCTGAGCCCCCACCTGGGGCCCTGAGCCCTCACCTGGGGCCCCTAAGCCCCCACCTGGGGCCCTGAGCCCTCACCTGGGGCCCCTAAGCCCCCACCTGGGGCCCCTAAGCCCCCACCTGGGGCCCTGAGCCCCCACCATGGGGCCCTGAGCCCCCACCAGGGGCCCTGAGTCCCCACCTGGGGCCCTGAGCCCCCACTCTGGTACCTTGGTACTCCTCATTTACTGATAAATTAACAACTCCTAATTTGTAGGCAATGTTCATTTGCAAATAAAGGATGTATAAGTGGACGGACACACTGGCGGGCAAGAACAGACATATTTTAGCCAGTTTTGGAACGCATGACTGGCGACGACGGTGGCGGCCCCGGCGGGAGGCCTCCACCAGCCATGTTGCAAACTTTATCAACCTTATAACTTTTCGGTCGTGGCTTTGTTGCTATTGTGAATGGAGAGGTCTGAGCCTGAGCTGTTCTGCAGGTTTGTTGACCTGCAGCTTACTTTACCCTGACGTTGTCTCGGGGGACGAGAGAGGTAATACTGTTGTGTCTCGCAGCTCGCTTCACCGTGGGCCAGAACGTGGCGGCCGCTTGGACCTACGAGCGAGACGAGGGCGACACTCCGGACTTCAACACGCAGGTCGAGGCCTGGTTCAACGAGGTCAACCAATATGGCTTCTCCAAGAGCAGCGTCGACCCCTTCAGGTTCAACAAGGCCACGGGCCACTACACCCAGGTGAGTGTTGGGGGCCACGGGCCACTACACCCAGGTGAGTGTTGGGGGCCACGGGCCACTACACCCAGGTGAGTGTTGGGGGCCACGGGACACTACACCCAGGTGAGTGTTGGAGGCCACGGGTCACTACACCCAGGTGAGTGTTGAGGGCCACGGGGCACTACACCCAGGTGAGTGTTGAGGGCCACGGGACACTACACCCAGGTGAGTGTTGAGGGCCACGGGACACTACACCCAGGTGAGTGTTGGGGGCCACGGGTCACTACACCCAGGTGAGTGTTGGGGGCCACGGGGCACTACACCCAGGTGAGTGTTGGGGGCCACGGGACACTACACCTAGGTGAGTGTTGGGGGCCACGGGTCACTACACCCAGGTGAGTGTTGAGGGCCACGGGTCACTACACCCAGGTGAGTGTTGGGGGCCACGGGGCACTACACCCAGGTGAGTGTTGGGGGCCACGGGACACTACACCTAGGTGAGTGTTGGGGGCCACGGGTCACTACACCCAGGTGAGTGTTGGGGGCCACGGGGCACTACACCCAGGTGAGTGTTGGGGGCCACGGGTCACTACACCCAGGTGAGTGTTGAGGGCCACGGGTCACTACACCCAGGTGAGTGTTGGGAGCCACGGGTCACTACACCCAGGTGAGTGTTGGGAGCCACGGGACACTACACCCAGGTGAGTGTTGAGGGCTACGGGACACTACACCCAGGTGAGTGTTGAGGGCCACGGGGCACTACACCCAGGTGAGTGTTGGGAGCCACGGGACACTACACCCAGGTGAGTGTTGAGGGCCACGGGACACTACACCCAGGTGAGTGTTGAGGGCCACGGGCCACTACACCCTGGTGAGTGTTGGGGGCCACGGGGCACTACACCCTGGTGAGTGTTGGGAGCCACGGGGCACTACACCCAGGTGAGTGTTGGGGGCCACGGGACACTACACCCAGGAGAGTGTTGAGGGCCACGGGTCACTACACCCAGGTGAGTGTTGAGGGCCACGGGTCACTACACCCTGGTGAGTGTTGGGGGCCACGGGGCACTACACCCTGGTGAGTGTTGGGGCCACGGGTCACTACACCCAGGAGAGTGTTGAGGGCCACGGGACACTACACCCAGGTGAGTGTTGAGGGCCACGGGTCACTACACCCTGGTGAGTGTTGGGGGCCACGGGACACTACACCCAGGTGAGTGTTGAGGGCCACGGGCCACTACACCCTGGTGAGTGTTGGGGGCCACGGGGCACTACACCCTGGTGAGTGTTGGGAGCCACGGGACACTACACCCAGGAGAGTGTTGAGGGCCACGGGTCACTACACCCAGGTGAGTGTTGAGGGCCACGGGTCACTACACCCTGGTGAGTGTTGAGGGCCACGGGTCACTACACCCTGGTGAGTGTTGGGGGCCACGGGGCACTACACCCTGGTGAGTGTTGGGGCCACGGGTCACTACACCCAGGAGAGTGTTGAGGGCCACGGGACACTACACCCAGGTGAGTGTTGAGGGCCACGGGTCACTACACCCTGGTGAGTGTTGGGGGCCACGGGTCACTACACCCTGGTGAGTGTTGAGGGCCACGGGTCACTACACCCTGGTGAGTGTTGGGGGCCACGGGTCACTACACCCTGGTGAGTGTTGGGGCCACGGGTCACTACACCCAGGAGAGTGTTGAGGGCCACGGGGCACTACACCCAGGTGAGTGTTGAGGGCCACGGGTCACTACACCCTGGTGAGTGTTGGGGGCCACGGGGCACTACACCCTGGTGAGTGTTGGGGGCCACGGGTCACTTCACCCTGGTGAGTGTTGGGGGCCACGGGTCACTACACCCAGGTGAGTGTTGGGGCCACGGGTCACAACACCCAGGTGAGTGTTGGGGGCCACGGGGCACTACACCCAGGTGAGTGTTGGGGCCACGGGACACTACACCCAGGTAAGTGTTGGGGGCCACGGGGCTCTACACCCAGGTGAGTGTTGGGGCCACGGGACACTACACCCAGGTGAGTGTTGGGGGCCACGGGTCACTACATCCAGGTGAGTGTTGGGGGCCACGGGGCACTACACCCAGGTGAGTGTTGGCTCCAGCACTCAGTAATATAGTCTCAGTTTCCTTTCTTCATCCTTGAGATAAGTTCCTCAGCCTTCGTTTTCAGTGAATCTTGACACATCATATATATATATATATATATATATATATATATATATATATATATATATATATATATATATATATATATATATATATATATATATATATATATATATATATATATAATATGTATATATATATATGTATATATCAAACAACAATATATATTGTCTAGTGGCAGTTCAATCTTTACGATAACATTAAATAATTTCAATAAATAATATATACAAAGAGGGAAAGTTCTGATGCACAACAGATCAATGTATCCTTGAGGAGGTATGCCAGGGCCACAGCAGCCACCAGGGCCACAGCAGCACCCAGGGCCACAGTAGCCACCAGGGCCACAACAGCCACTAGGGCTACAGCAGCCAACAGGGCCACAGCAGCCACCAGGACCACAGCAGCCACCAGGGCCACAGCAGCCACCAGGGCCACAGCAGCCACCAGGGCCACAGCAGCCACCAGGGCCACACAGCAGCCACCAGGGCCACACAGCAGCCACCAGGGCCACACAGCAGCCACCAGGGCTACAGCAGCCACCAGAGCCACAGTAGCCACCAGGGCCACAGCAGCCGCCAGGGCCACAGCAGCCACCAGGGACACAGCAGCCACCAGGGCCACAGCAGCCACCAGGGACACAGCAGCCACCAGGGCCACAGCAGCCACCAGGGCCACAGCAGCCACCAGGGCCACAGCAGCCACCAGGGCCACAGCAGCCATCAGGGCCACAGCAGCCACCAGGGACACAGCAGCCACCAGGGCCACAGCAGCCACCAGGGCCACAGCAGCCACCAGAGCCACAGCATCCACCAGGGCCACAGCAGCCACCAGGGCCACAGCAGCCACCAGGGCCACAGCAGCCACCAGGGCCACAGCAGCCACCAGGGCCACAGCAGCCACCAGGGCCACAGCAGCCACCAGGGCCACAGCAGCCACCAGGGCCACAGCAGCCACCAGGGCCACAGCAGCCACCAGGGCCACACAGCAGCCACCAGGGCTACAGCAGCCACCAGAGCCACTAGGGCCACAGCAGCCACCAGGGCCACAGCAGCCATCAGGGCCACAGTAGCCACCAGGGACACAGCAGCCACCAGGGCCACAGCAGCCACCAGGGCCACAGCAGCCACCAGAGCCACAGCATCCACCAGGGCCACAGCATCCACCAGGGCCACAGCAGCCACCAGGGCCACAGCAGCCACCAGGGCCACAGCAGCCATCAGGGCCACAGCAGCCACCAGGGCCACAGCAGCCACCAGGGCCACAGCAGCCACCAGGGCCACAGCAGCCACCAGAGCCACAGCAGCCATCAGGGCCACAGCAGCCACCAGGGCCACAGCAGCCACCAGGGCCACAGCAGCCTCCAGGGCCACAGCAGCCACCAGAGCAACAGCAGCCACCAGGGCCACAGCAGCCACCAGGGCCACAGCAGTCACCAGGGCCACAGTAGCCACCAGGTCCACAGCAACCACCAGGGCCACAGGAGCCACCAGGGCCACAGCAGCTCACAGGCTCTATGTATATTCCTCACAGTACCATCCAATCTTTTCGTATACATTCCAAGAATTGGTGTACAAGCATCGTCTGGGAATGAGTGGTTGACGTATGTAATCACCGCCTCAGCTGGACGTCGAGGCGGTGAAATGTTCTCTCGCAGGATTGTGAGACATGGAGGAGCATATGGTCAGTTAATGTGTTTAACCTATTTAAGTACTTCTGCATTTGTGCAGCTGCTCTAGAGTATTAGAAGGGGAGTATATAGTGTTCAAAAATTAGCTAAATGATGCTAAAAGTTCCCATCACACAGGATAGTTAGTCATACAAAGCGTGTGATAAGTAGCCTGCACCGGTAATCTCCGGGTGTGGCGGTCAACAACATGCTGCCCCACTGTGTCCAGGACAGGCCGCCCCCATGAGGATATCCTCAAGAACACTTTAGGTAATAAAGTAATTGCAAAGCTCCAGGTACCTCACGCCAACTGGTCTAATAACTGGGCATTCGGTGATGTAGTGTGGGAGATCATGCCGCAGTTCCTGCTCACAGAGTTTGCACCTGGAGTGCTCAGGATTGGGAGATCCGTCACCCGCAGCCACCTGCCACAGGTAACGGTAACCCAACCTGATCCTGGCAACCACTGTGTCGCACAGTCTGGTCCACGTTTTGTCCTGCCCCATAAACACAGGTTTCAGAACTGAACAAATCATAACTTTATATACTGGTGCTTTTAGGTAGTTGGGAGTCAGTAATTTCTTTCCTATGAGACCTGAGTGTTTTGCAACAATATACTCGTGGCAACAGAAATAGGGATACCCAGGTATAACTCAACTTCATCTTTGTTTCACGCTAATTTGGCTGCAATGTCTGTGTCATTATGATGGGTAATATTTAGGTGTGATGGTATCCATACAAAGAACATATGAAACCGTTTACTCTCTGCAGCGATCAGAACATTTATAATTGCAAGAATAAAGTTCTTGTTATCGATCTTGCAAAAGTTTTCAATTACTTTAAGAGCAGAGCGAATCACACAATAGTATTCCTCCTCCAGTGTTGTTTAATGGTGTGGTAGCTGTACGCCTACGAGGCGGCGATAAACTCTACGGAGATTGTTTGCCACATTTTATAACTGGAAACTGCATAATCTTCAAGTACGAGTGGGAGTGTGCGGGGAAGGTGGGAGGGGGGCGGGGAGGGCGGGTGTAGGTGAGAGCTGGCACAAGTCACTGAGAGCGAGTGACTGTTCGCTGATGTGAGAGAAAGTAAGTGAGAGTGAGACAGCTGGCCAGGCGGCCCCACTCTGTCCAGGACAGGCCATCAGAAGGAAAACAACAGTGAAGAAATAGTTAACGAAAC